TGGCCTTCTTACTTGCTATGGTTTAGATCTAAAGGGTCCCCCAGAGTCCCCTGTGTGTGGAAGGCAATTGGATCATGGGGTGCTGTACTCCTCAGTGGATTCATCCAAGGATGAATATGGAGCTGAGTATGCTGTTAGGAGGTGCGGCCTGGTCGGAGCGGGTCACTGGGGCATGGGCTGGAAGTGCCCATTCTTGTCTGCTCCTCCTCTCTCTCTACCTCCTGGCTGCCACGGATGAGCAGCTGGCCTCTGCCCAGGCCCTTCTGCCATGCTGCTCCTGTCTTGGCACCAACCCCAGACAGAAACCCGGAGCCAGAATAAACCTCTCCTCCTTTAAGCTGCAGGTGTCAGGTATTTGGTCACAGTGACAGGATCCAATCCACTCCTCCTCTCTAATCAAAGGCTTCCAAGCCCTGGTGGAGAAGAGGCAGCAGTGGGAGCCGCCCAAGGAGCAGGTGGCTTAGAGGTTTCTATCAGGAAGTGCTGAGTGGAGCAGAAACCCCTCAGCCACTTACACGCTGAGTGACAGTAGGGCAGGTTGTTTCACTGTCCTTATCCACAGCAAGGGAAGATCAGGGCCTCTGCCCATCAGCCTGCTGGGGGAATGAGCAAAGAGGTCTGCAAACTCGACACACAGAGCCTGCTGCACAGCAAAGTGGTGGTCACATCAATAGTGACTGTGGCACTTTTACTCTGCTCGCCAGGGGCCATGCTTGGTTCTCTGCAGCCCCTAAATCACACCAAGCACCAGCAGTTAACAGCAGCCTGATGGACACAGCAGCGCAACACTCTAAGTCTGGGAAAACACAGAAACAAAACAAAGACCTCTAAACAAATACAAATCCCTCCCTGTATTTTGAGAAATACCAACCTTCCCGATGCTCAACTTCCGGTGCTCAACTTTTTCATGCTTCTGGATAATTCTTTTATTTTTAAAATATCTACTTATTTTGCTGTACTAGGGATTGAACTCAAGGCCTTTGCCTTGAGCTACACCCCAAGTCCCTTTTTTTGACACAGAGTCTCCCTAAGTTGCTAAATTGCCCAGGCTGGACTCAAACTTGCAATCCTCCTACCTCAGCATCCCAGAGTGCTGGGATTACAGGTGTGGGCTGCCATTCCTGGCTAGATAATTCTTTTCAAAAGTAAGTAACTTAAAACAGAAACAAATATCAAAAAACTTTTCACCAGCTCTACTTCCTCCTTGGAGGCGGCAGCCTTCATTCATCCAACAAGCTGTCTTCCTTCATTCAGGTTTACCCCCCAGCAGTCAAGAGTAAGACACTGCTTCAGATGACACCACTGGGACATTGTCACACAGGCAGGTGGAGCCTGGGAGCAGAGGGAGGCTTGGATGGGAAGAGTTTCTGGCTTTCTCTTTTCTCAGCTCCCTGCAGAGCCCATTTCCTCTGTGCAGTGGCTTGGAGCTCAGCACTGAGCCACAGGCTGGCTCAGATTGGAACCTCTCGGGAACTCTCCAGAAAGAAATGAAGGTTGCCAGTCAGATGTGGTGGTGGAGGCTTTGTGACCCCAGCATTCTGGGAGGCTGAGGCAGTAGGATTGCAAGCTGAAGCCCAGCCTGAGCAACTTAGTGACGTAGGGAGATCCTGTCTCAAAAATTAAATAATGACAAGGGCCAGGAATGTAGTTCGATGCAAAGGCTCTAGATTCAATTCTCAGTACTGGAGAAAAAGAGGTAGAGAGAGAGAGAGAGAGAGAGAGAGGGAGAGAGAGAGAGAGGTAGTTCTCTCCAATGGTTATTGGTATAATTCCTTCCTCTAAAAGAATTCTGGAAACATTTCTGGGAAATATTTAGAACCTCATTAACTTGGGGAAATTTCTAGTAAGCTAGGGTTGGGCTTGTAGAGGAAAACAGTGGTGACTGCCAGACATGGTGGTCCATGCCTGTAATCCCAGCACTTTGGGAGGCTGAGCAGGAGGATTGCAAGTCTGAGCCCAACCAGGGCAACTTCGTGAGACTTTGTCTCAAAAATTTTAAAAAAGCACCAGGGATGTAGCTCAGGACAAAGGTCCTGGGTTCAATCTCTAGTACCAATAAATAAATAAACAAAATAAAACAGTGGTGACTTTAGTGCAGTTTCAGTGTAGCTCTGAACCAGATCTCCCAGTGGGCCTCAGATGGGAGCATCTTCAAGAATATCCAAGAACGGATATACCCAGTGGGGCGAGGGGACCCATGTCAAGGGGCCACTGAGGTACCAAGAAGCTGTACAGTTAAATAACTTTTTGTTTCAACTTTCATTTTCTTGGTTTTTTTTGGTACCAGGCATCGAACTCAGGACATTGCACTTTTGAGGCAGGCAGCAGAACCACTGAGCTAAATCCTCAGCCCTCAACTTTCATTTTCTAAGCCTCGTCCCTGAGAGTGAATGTTCAGCTGAATTTTCACTCATATTCTAAAGCAGAGAGGCAGTGGCTGCCCATGCAGAGAAATTCTGAGAAACTTGGTTTGGGGCCGGGCACTAGGACGGGAAGTTAATGTTTCTTTGTGTGTTTTTAAGTGCAAAATGCCTAGGGAATAATTTAAAAACTGAGCAGCCTGCACATTCTCTTTTTTCTCCTGCATGGCTGGATTATAAACGCCCTGGCCAAAAACTAACCAGCGGCTGTACAGAAAGCTTTGGTAGAAACCCCAGTATCCCAGGTGGACATGGATGGTCCTTTGCTTACTGCAACAGTCCCACCAGGAGCCTGGCTTTTTCTGCTTTTCGAAGATGCACTGTGGATCAGAAGCCAGACTCCCAGGGCCAAGACAGAGATATGATGTTAGGAACTGAAGGACTGGATTAGCACAGCTGATACTGGTAGAGTTCACCAGAAATCCCTCCCTCTGCCAATGCCCTCCCCATACGCTCTAACTCTGCATGGAAAACTAAAAGAAAAACGCTGTGATTCTCAGTTAGGAGGTTTTCTTCTTTTCCACATAAGGCAACAAGTTGGGAATGATGCAAGGTGAGCAAACAGGAACAAAAGCAAAGGCTGGAAACACCCACCCGCTGGGGATCATATTTTTGTGCCAACGATAAGAGCTGTTGCTAGTCTGCTGGTACTGTTTCCTTATCAAACTTCAAAAGGAGATAAAAGGACTTGTGTGCAAAGCGATTCAAACTGTGCTCCTTCATCTGGGGCTCTGCCAGAATCTGCGGGTCCCCAGGCTGCTGCATGTATGAGATGCCTAGGGAATTTCTCCGTTGCGTGTCTTTATTCCGATAATTATCATTCAGTTAATGTAAATGTCTTCTGAGGGCTCTGCATGACCAGGTGAATATCGAGCGCTATCGCAGGCCACTTGCCTGTGTCCCACCCGCAGAGGCTTGAAATGGTCCTACAGTGATCTTCACAGGAGAGAGGAGCGTGCAGATTGAACACAGACATGCTCACCCCCAAGGAGCTCCCAGATCACCACAGAGAGCAGTGTGTCCACCTCTGTCCCTCACTGTGGCCAGGAGCCACATAACCACTCCCTCTCAGCGATGTGCTGTAAGACTACTACTCCTGGGGATGCTGTGGCTGTCTTAGTTTGTGTATGTGCTCTGTCACCTTTTCAGAAGGACAAGATACCTGTCAGAATATGTCCTGGTCTCTAAGCATGGGACTGGGTTTTATTCTTAGCCACACCTTAGACTGATAGGAGGCACTCAATTATGTATTGAGTGAAGGAATGGTGTGTGAACATTTCAAAATACTTCATTTCAGGGAAATTGAGGGGAGAATTGTGTCATCACAAAGCACAGAAAGACCTAAGGTAGCGTCACGGGTACCATACCAGCAATTTCCTTTCAGCAAGCCGTGATGCCTACTAGCTGAATAAATGCTGTTAACTGTCGTAGATTTATATTTACCTGTAAAATTATTTTTATTTTATAGTTGTAATAGACCTATGAGGAAAAGCCATTTCATGTTTACACATACTGGGAAAACATTACAATAAAAATGTATTAGGTCAGTCCTGGGGGTATAAAAGAAGTGTTTTTTTAGAAGGGTCCCATCTATAACTTTACATAAGAAACACTAGAAGTCAGATGTGGGATGCACACCTATAAGCCCTAGCAGTCTGGGAGGCTGAGGCAGGAGAATCTCAACTTTGAGCTTAGCCTGGGCAATATAATGATTTGGTGAAACCTTTCTTCTAACCATTTCTCCAGGTGGTAAAAGGCAGGGTGAACTCTGTTCACTGCTCAGGTCACTGTCAGAAAGATTTTGTCTTAGATCCACTTGTCTCTAGAAACGATCAGGCTAATAGGGGACAAGAGGGGAGTGACCTTTAAGAGTGGGTTAGATGGGGCTGTGATCCCGGAGTAAGGGGAGTCCCCTGACCATTGCTAAGGATGGCGATAATTCATGCTGCCCTCCTGGCAGCCTCTATGGTTTCCTTTGTGTTCATCTCAGCTCTTTGTACTGGGGGATTAGTGCTGGGAGCTCCTGTCCACAGGCAGGAGATGGAATCAAGCCGGGAGCCTTGCATACAAAATCCACAATTAGCTGAAGCCTGTTTGGGGAAAGAACCCTAGAACCTGCTGATCTTGCATGCTGAGACCTCCACTCATCCCAACCCATTTTGTGACTGCCCGGACCTCACAGGTGGGGACCTCTAAGATGTTGCATCTGTTTTCACCCCTCAGATATGAGTTTTAAAGGGCAAAGACCATGATATTTATCTGTTGACAATGGTAGTGTGTACTTGCTCAGTGTGTTTTAGTGTCGTCTCTGTCCTCTTTTCCTCCCTCCCTTCTGCCCTTTTCCAAGAAGGCATGAAAAGCAAAACCACAGGAGAGGCATAAAAATATATTGGTCAAACTGAACAGAAATGCACCTCTGGAGTTTGGGGGTCCACCGCCAATCTTCAAATTCAGGTCTAGAAAATGCCTGATGAATAAGAAAACAGAGAGAGTCAGAAATTCAGGGGGAGGAAGAGCAGCTGATTAGGAGCTCTATCAGTCACTGTATCACTGCTGAGACACAATACCTGACACCCACCATTTGAAGGAAGAGAGGTTTATTTTGGTTTACAGTTTCAGAGGTTTCAGTCCATGGTTGGCCAGTTCCAAGGTGAAAAGGGCGTGGTGGAGGGGCCTGGTGGAGGAGAACTGCTCATGTCATGGTGGCCAGGGAGCACAGAAGGGAGGAACTGGGAAAGAAGATGCACCCTACCAGGCCACACCCCAGTGATTCATCTCTTCCAACCAGACTCCACCTCCTAACAGCAAGTCAGCTGTAGCACCCGCCCCCAAGATCCAGAAGCCCCACCTCTGAACACATGAGGCTTTGGGGGACATCTAAATTGAAACCATAACAGGAGCTGACAATCTTCCAGTCCAACTGCTCATCTGGAGCTCGGATCAAACAGGAGGCTGATACACTGGCAGAGTGCAGGGATGGGGCACCTCAGTCCAGCCATCTGGCTTGTCCCTGACTTCGTGGGCCACCTGGTTCCCTTCACAGGCTCCAAGCTCCTCCCCATCCAGCTGTCACCCAGAACATCATTCCAAGCAAAGGGGAACCAAGACAAATGGCACATAAATCAGAAACAGCACATTCAATAGACTGCTCTGCCTGGACCTTGCTTTGTGAAACTGGGCTACTTTTCAAGAATGATAGGAAAAACGAAACACAAAAATTCATATCAAATGAAAAAAAAGTGGCTTCAGCAACCCATGTAGAATGGCTTAGTAGCCTCAGATGGTGGCTCCAGGCCCCTGTTCTCTTGTCCCAGTTTTTTCGATTTCCTCTCTTCTAGCCACCCAGATAAGTAAAGCCATGAAGAAAACACTTTGAGAAATAACATACAGACTCAAAGCCATGGGCTTTGATGGCTTGGAGATTTGTCAGAAGTGCCATCTGTGATATTTCCTGCCATATAAATTAAGGGGAAAAACAGAGAAGACAGCAGAAATGGCTAGAGACAGGCATGGGCATGAGGGCTCGTGTGATGGGAAGGACAGCAAAGACTGTCAGGGCCCAGTCCCAAGGTGAGGGTGACAGTGTGTGTGTGTGTGTGGGGGGGTGGGAAACATATACGTCACAATTCAAACCATAGATGATGCCAACTGTCAACATCTGGTGAAGAAGCAGGAACTTTCCTTCAAGTTCCATGCCCCACAGTGATCGTAAGAGATATGGGGGTTTCTGCAACCTTCTGGTTCTCCCGAAGGGCTGGGGACCAGAGGCTCCATGGCAGCCTTGCTTTTCTCTTCTCTCCCCCTTTCTGGCTTTATCAGTTTCTCCTCTCTGTCTTGGCCCAGCCACTCCCAGTGCCATCAGCCCAGAGAGACCCTGGGGGAAAAGAGGGTGCTGACCTCACGCATCCCTGTGTGGGGACAGCTGGGTGTGGACAGTCCAGCCCAGCGCTGAGATCTTGCACATGTCCGAGCCTCCTGTGGGACCTAAACCAGAGGGACACTCTTCACCTTTTAGTTCCCTGACAGGTGCCCATGTCCATGCCTTAGGGGTGCAGCCTGGGGCACAGGTGAGGCTGCGGTGCTGGCCAGCACTTTCTGATCAGCCCAGTCTCTCTCCTCCAGCCCTGGAGGGCACGGGCTGCACCTCTCCAGCTCTCCCTTAACCTGAAGCATGACACAGTGACCTCAAAATGCTATCATGTAAGGTGACAAACTTTTGTTACTGAACTCTTCCCACCCACGTGCTTATAAACCCCCATTCTCAAAGATCCCCAAAGAAAAATGGCAACCGATGTGTACATAGCTATGCTGTCTGACAGCAAAGGAGCAGGGAATTCTGGGCTGCTTCAGGAAGAAGGTGGGCCTGTCACAGTGCAGCAGACACCTCACCATTCCCTCCAGGTCCAGGTCCATGACTGAAGGTGCCCTGTAGGGTTTTGCTGTTCCGTGAACAACCAAGCCGCAAATGCGTCCACCCCGAGCTCCATGGTCTCCACTGCAGGAATTCATGGTATGCAGCAGGTGGGGTTCATGCCGGCCAGGCCCAGGTCACCACATCTCTGCTCTTCAGTCTTACAGCTTCCTGCACCGACTTCAGCCTCCAAACCAATCAACAAGGAGATGACATGTGTCACATTCTGTCCAGCTTTGGGGGAGCTATGGGCAAGGGCAGGCTGGTTTTCTCTCAGCCCATCCTGCAAGAGATTTTTTTGCCTTTAATAAGACCAAATACCCCACACTAAAGAAGCCCTCTGTCACATCTCAGGGACTCTCCTCCTCCCGACTTTGGGATCTGATCTAGAGGGATCAGATGCAAATGAACATCCAGGCATGATGATGCATGCTCATAATTCCAGAACTCTGGGAGGCTGAGGCAGGAAGACTGCAAGTTTCAGCTCAGCCTGTGCAACTTGGTGACTTAGGGTGACTCTGTCTCACCAAATTAAAAAAAAAACTTGCTCAGTACAAAGGTCCTGGGCTTAATCCTCAGTACTTGAAAAATAAATGCAAAGGAGGCTGCATTGGGAAATGCTGAAGTATTTATTTCACAGGGTGGGAGGCAGGGAGAAGGGTGGTCACCGAGAAGATGCCACCAGTGAGACACTGTGAACACCACACTGGGCAACGGGGCAACTATAGGGTTTGGTTCTGGGCAGGGTTGGCCAGAGACAGCAGTGGGGAGAGAGGTGGGATGTGGCAAAAGGGCACCGCATAGGCAAGGCCGAGCCAGGCCCCTGCCAGAGAGCCACTGACATGGGGCCAACCCCGCTTGCTTCTCAGCAGCTGTGGCCCCATCACATGAGCAATTAAGCAGCAAGCTCAAGGCCACACAGCGACATTTCCGCTCACAGCACACACTCAGACACACACACACCCTGCCACACACAGGGCACAGGCACACACGCTCGCATGCATGCACACACGTCCATATATTAACTCTGACTTATAAGTGCACCCTAACCAGAGGGCAATCAGAAAGCAAGGGTTACTGCTAAGAGGAGACAACTGCCTTTCCCTGTCACCTGCAGAGCTTGGGGTGAAATGCGCTGAGCACAAAGCATCTCAGGTTCCTGAGGCCCGTGGCTGGGGCGGCTTCCTCAGCCCTTCCCCACAGAGGGCCCTGCGGTGCCACAAGTCAGGACTCTGGGTCCCAGTGGCAGAGCTGCCCCGATCTGCTTCTGGCCTCCTGGCCCCTTGCAGCTAAGGCCACCATGCATGTGCGCCCGGCCCATTTCTGGCTCCCTATGGACCCAGGTAGGAGGGCAGTTCATGCCCACACGACCAGGGTAGGTAGCATCAGCTCCTTTGGGGCACCTCAGAAACTTCCAGAGCTGCAGCCCCCAAAGCCACCCCTGTGGGAAAGTTTGAGGGCTGTGGTTGTAAATGGGCATCTGAACAGAAGCAACTCAGAGGAAACAGTCTTAGGGCCTCACTGTCTCCTCTGGGTAAAGGGGAGCTATGATGTAGCTGAAGCCCCCGTCCCGCTGAGGGCCACAGTGGAATTCAGAAGCTGCTATGGCTGCAAAGGATGAAAGAGAGGAGGGGACCCTGCCAGGCCCAGGTCCTGATATTGGGGTGGAAGATGACACAGAAGAGATGCGGAGTCTTATCCTGTCCAGCCCACATCTGGGGTGCAGAAGATACAGCTCCTGGCTTCCCAGAGAAGGGCTGGGAACCTTTTCCAGGGTGCAGGAGCCTCAGGCAGCTGAATGCCTGAGAAGGACTTAAAGTCTTCATCCAGGGCCCCCTGCTGCCTTGAAGGGGCCCTAGAGGCCCGAGATCACCGGTTGGGCCCCTTCGGTCTCTCCACTGTGTGGCTGCTCTTGAGGACAGTTGGGCCCAGTCCTGGGTTGGGCTCTGGGAGCCTCAGCTTCTGCCAGCTACTTGATGGAGTTCTTAATTGTCCACCTCTGTCCTGTGCAGCCTCGGAGGATGAGGTCAATGCCAGCCAGGCCCCGGTTCTCCACCTCCAGGCAGCGCCCTGTGCCCTTATTCATGATGGCTCCGTTCTGGGAGGAGTAAGGAGGAGACAGAGAGATTCAGCCACCACAGTTCCCAGCATGTGGCTTCTCACGGGGAGCAAATTCCACCATTTCTCACACAGTGCAAGGGATCATGAGGGCCTCCTTTGGAGACCCTAAAGTCAGAACACACAAGGGGCGATGAAAATACACTTGATGTTTAAGTTTAAAAAAATGATTACAATAAAAGACATATGCCCACTAATCTCCCTCAAAATATGCCCTTTGCTTTGTACACACTGTTCTTGCCACTTTCTGAAGCAGTTCTGGAGTTCTCTTTCCTGAGTGTCTTTAACTCAGTGAGATCAAAATACAGTGAATGCTGCTGCCGAATGCCATCCAGCAGAAAGGCAGGCTTGTAAAAACATGACGGGTGTCCTCATCCATCATATCTACCTTTTTCACCAGATCTGCCACTGTGCAACTTCTGACTCTTCCACAGAGTCAAAATGACCATGAAAAGCAAACATTTTGAATGGACTCAGGACATTGAAGGAGCCAGGACAGTGCAACTAAGGACACTCACAAAACAGGACTCGCAGAACCACTTCAAAAAGTGACAAGAACAAAGGGATGAGTGTGATTGAAGTGAGGGAGAGTATTTCGAGGGTGATTCATGGGGATGTGTCTTTTACTGTACCATATTTAAAAAAAATTTAAACATTCACTGTATTTTCTGATGACATTGGGTAGATAGGCTGTACCAAGTTTGAGCAGCTGCACCAGGTTAGGTGCATTGGTGAGGATGGAGTCAGGATGGGGAATTTCCGTGATGTTTGTGATCTGAAGTTCTCAACCATGCTGGCTGAGGGTAGAGATTTCAGGGAAATCGTGATGGTCTCTGCCCTCTGGATTTATCAGAACTCAACTGGCCTGGCCCTAGTGTAGGAATCAGGAAGGCTGCCTCCCACAGAAATCCCTCACACTCCTGCCTGAGGGTGCTATAGGTCCCCAAGCCTGACTTGGACTGAGAGAGACCTGGGTTCCCGGCTCCACTTTGTTGGGGACCCCTGGGGAACCCAGGTTTTCCTCTGTTGCCCTATGCATAGCTCACCTACCTGGATGAAGTTCCAGCGCTTGTACAGGCTGCTCTTGACCTTGTCACAGTCGAGGAGCTGGGGGAGCCGACTCTTAGAGTTGTCCACCAGGCAGCGGGTGTCAGGCAGGAGTGTGGTGGTCCCCAGGGCGCCCAAGTGCAGGAAGCCTTCCTTGGTATATCGGGCGAGCTACAGAGACACCAGGGTGAAGGGGTAGAGGGAGGTGGGGGTAGAGGTGAGGCCAGGAGGGGAACAGTGGCTAAGATCCGCTGCCTAGTCTCTGCCTTATGTTAGTTCTGCTGCCTGTCCCATTTCTGTCCTAAACACACCCAATTCACATTGCCCAAAGACGCAATTCCCTGAAGCAGCATTCAACCTCAGAAGTGCTAAAAGAAATAAAAATGAAAACAACTGTGAGATGCCACATTCTAGAAAAGAGATTACTCTCATTTTGGCAAGGTGTTAGCCTAAGATGGGGAGCCTCACACAGTAAGGCTAGAGGAAGGGTAAATTATTCTAACCTTTCAAAAGTGGGACTTATAAATACATACATTGTTTTTAAAATGTTTATCACTTTTGACTCAATAAACCCTTTTCAGAAATCTATCCAAGGGGAATAATCAGAATTGTGAACAAAGGTTTATGCATGAGGTATTCATTGCAACATTATTTAAAATGGTGAAAAAAGCAAAAATAATAGGTGCAAAACATTCCCAGTGTGTGCTCTGTTCACACCTACTGCACTAAATGCAGGCAGGGTTTTGTAGATTGCAAAAATACCCACATTGCCCTTCTTCCTTCTACTCATTCTTGGTAATGGCTTTGGAGCAATTTCTACCATGCAGCACAATCTATTTTCCTATTCCTTGAATATTGGTTGGTCTCGTGACTTGCTTTGGCCAGTAGAATGTGGCAGATACACAGATGTGCTTGGTCCTAGACTAGAAGTTTGGCCTCCCAGGCTTCCATTCACTCTTGGAACCCTGTTGCTGCCATGACAATAGCTCAGGCAGGCCTCTGGAGAGACAGGTGACCCAACCAAAATCTGGTCAACTAGATGAAGCCAACATGGATCACAAAGCCCTCAGCCAACCTGCTTTCTGCCTCTAGGAGATGCAGGAATACATCCAGGCAAAATTAAGCCAGCCTAGTCCAGTTCACAAAACTATCCAGCTACCCTGTAGACTCATGAGCAATAATAAACCATATATTTGTTATGCAGCATTAGCTGACTGATACAGATGTGATGTTTCCTGGCAACCTTTCCCATGGCAGGGCCCATACTAGGCTAGAAGCCTCCTCCCTTGTTTTCCCTCTCTGGGAAGTTGAAAATCACCATTCTATCTAAAAATAAAAGAAACATTCACCCATCTTTCACACTATAGACCACCAAGTAATCAAAACGTGTGTAGAGGACCATGTTATTAATGTGGTGCATACCATCATTTAAAAACAGAAGCCAGATGTATTCAGTTAAACTCTGCAAACATGTTTTGAGGAGTTCTCTGAGAGCTCAGCCTGAGGACAGGCTTCTGGAAGTGGGATGGGGCTGTGTTCCTACCGAAAGATCCTAGTCCAGCTGCTGAGGACAACATGAGAGGCCAGCACAAGTCATCGTATTTGTTCCCATAAATCCTATGAACAAGGTGGTTTGTCAATCTAATACACACCTGATGCTACCAGCATATAGCGAAGACATGCTTTGCACTGATTCTAATATAGGAATAAGTAATGTAATTTTCATGACAGCACTGTGAGATAGGTTCTATCATGGTCTCCATTTTATAATTGAGGAAACTGAGGCATGAAGACATCTGCACACTTGGCTGTGTCTCCGTCTCTCTCTGTAGGTCTCTAGAGACTCAACAGCAGGCTGTCCTAGCCCAGCAACTGAGCAGCACAGGGCCTTCCCCCAGATTGCTGGGGGATCCCCGCCTTTTCCTCCAGAGCCCAGGCCCTTGTGCTCAGGAACGAAACAGGAAGCTCTCTGCGCAGGAACATAAGTGACTCTTCTCCGGTTGCTAAGACTCTCTGCAGGGGTTCTCATCTTTTGGTGAAAGCTACTCAAAAATCCTTGGCTCTGATCCCAAAAGGAGACCCTGCCTGCTCCCCTTAAGCAAGTGACGGGGAGTTTATTAAGTGCCCTTGAAAGTGATGCCATTAACATGCGCTCTACACCCAAATTAGTTCCAAATCAGAGTAATTGTTAGAGGCAAAATGGTAAGAACATCAGAAGCCCTTCCTCCTCCTCCCTAAACAATGTTTCCCTGAATATATTAAATTCACCAAATGCAAAGTGATGAATGACAGCAAGCTGCCTTTATGTTCAGGGGAAAGATATACACAGCTGCTTATTGAAATTAAGAATCAATCTATTATCCAGCAGGCAAATGAGCAGTGCTAAGAACATTAATTAACTGAGCATATATCTGACCCAGATGGTTAAAGTCTGAAGCTAAATGCCACCAGGAGTTAGAGGTTCTTCTTTCGGAGGTTTTTCGGACATGGAAACAATGAGGTCCACATGGCTAGGACCTGCAGAGGGCAAAGGGCAGCCCTGAGTCATGCAGGTGTTGGAGTGGGCTGGGGCAGGGGAAGAGGGCTTTGGTGGGATTTCCTTTTTGAGGAAGTCACCAAACATACTGGGTCAATATGCGTGGCCTCTGTGGGGGTGGCTGAGGTTCCAACACCTGGCTTCTTTTATGAGGAAGTCAGGCAGACGTCACTGTGGTTGGAGGATGATGGGGGTAAAGTTATGCAACAACAGATCTCACATTTGTTTTTGCTCCAAATGCAGAAGGTTGACCTGCTGTCAACCAAATCCCCCTGTTTTTGCCCCAGTCCTGGACTGGGTGCTTCCACAGTGCAACCTGCCTACCACGGCTGCTCAATCCCTCTTCTCCTTTCTTAGGTACAACTGCCATCTGACCTCAGCAGGCTTTCCTGCCTCTGAGACTTACTCCAGATCTTTCCCTGCTGGGAGATCAACCGACCGGCCTACCTTTGGGGTGCTCTGGCTTCCCCTTTCCAAGGTTGCTTCAGTGTGATTCTCTCCTCCCATGGTGTCTCTGCTAATCCTTCTGGCCCCTCTTGCCTTGGAGCCACACATTTCCAGGTGCTTTAGTGTCTCTTCAAGGCATGGGTGGATCTCAGTTTTCTGTCTTGACCATCTTAATCACCCATTTACCAGTTGAAAGGGGTTTGGTTGCTTCTACTGGCTATTGTGAACCACACTATTATGCACATTCATGTACAATGTTTTGTTCATGCACATTTTTTGTTTTTCCTGTGTGTGAATGTATGTTTCCAATTCTCTTTGTTGCTGCATCCTACAGTAATTCTCCATTTAACTCTTTGAAGAACTGTCAAACTAATTTTCAAAGTAGCTGCACCATTTTATACTTCCACCATCAATGAAAGGCAGCACCAATTTCTGCACACCCTGGCCAAATCTTGTCATTGTCTGCTTTAAAAAATGTTTTTAGCTATCTTAGTATTAAATAGCCAATATGCTTTTGATTTGCATTTTTCTAATGATTAATAACATTGAGCATCATTTCATGGGCTTTTTGGCCATATCTTCTTTGGAAAAATGTCTATTCGACCTTTTGGTCATTTTATTTCTTTATTTTTGATATTGAGTCTCACAAAGTTGATCAGGCTGGCCTTGAACTTAAAATCCTCCTGCCTCAACTTCTCTAGTTGCTGGAACTACAGTGTGCACCATTACATCTGGCAACCTTTTGCCCATTTAAATAAAATGCGTTGTCTTGAGGGGGCTGAGTTGTAAGAAATTCCCTATATATTCTGGTTAGTAGCCCTTTTGCAGGTATAAAATTTGCAAATATTTTCATCCATCGCGTGGGGTGTTTTTCTCTCTTTTTGGATAGTGTCTTTGAAGCATAAAAGTTTTTAATTTTCATGAAGTCCAATTTATCTGTTTTTGCTTTGACCACTTGTACTTTTGATGTCATATCTAAGAAACCACTGCCACATCCAAGGTCATGAAATTTTGCCCCTCCCTATGTTTTCTAAGACTTTTATCATTTTAGCTCTTGTATTTAGGTCTTTGATCCATTTTGACTTCTTTTTGTATGGGGTATAAGAGAAGGGCCCAAATACTTTCTTTTTCATGTGGCTATCTCATTGTCCCAGGGCCATTTGTTGAAAAGGCTGTTCTTTCCCTATTGAAGTATCTTGTCACTCTTGTCAAAAAACCATTGACTGTAAATGTGAGGATTTATTTCTGGGATTTCAGTATTATTCCATTGATCTCTATGTCTGTCTTTCTACTAGTACTACACTGTCTTGGTTATTATAGCTTATCAGTAAGTTTTAGAACTTGCATGTGTGAGTCTTCCAACTTAATTCTTCTTTTTCAATATTATGCTGGCTCTTCTGGGTCTCTTGCATTTTCATAAAAATTTTAGAATCAGCATTCCCATTTCAGCAAAGAAGACAGTTAGAATTTTGATAGGGACTGCACAGAAACTGTAGCTTAGTTTGGGGAATATTCCCATCTTGATGTTCAGTCTTCTTTCTTACTTTGTCTTATTTACTGTTTTTTTATTAGTACATGTTTGAGATATATAAATTTCCATCATCGGAAGTTGGTGCATGTATATATCGCATCTTAATTTTTTTTTTTACTTCTTCCCCTTCTCTCTATCCTCTCTCCCTGCATCTCTTGATCCCTTTCCATCTACAGGAGGTCTACCTCCCTGTCTTCTGTTATTTTGGTCTTTAAATTATTTATGCTTTGAATTTCTCATGTAAGGGAAGTCATAAATAATTAACCTTCTGTGTCTGATTTATTTCACTTAGCACTATGGTCAAAAGAGTTAAAGACATCATATTACAGTGATATACAAATCCTCATGGTTATAGCAGAACAACTAATATTCAGCCCTCTAATCTGTGAACACCAGATATCTTTTTCAGTTGGAATTTCAATTTTTTCAACATTGTTTTGCAGTTTTCAGTGTATAAGTCTTTCCCATTGTTGGTTCAATTTATTCCCAAGCATTTTATCCTTTTTTTGATGCTACTGTACATGGTATAGCTTCATAAATCCCTCGGTCAGAATACCCATTGCTAGTGTAAGCAGTGTCTTTAAGACACTTCTGTGACCACACACAGCCACTGTGGTACCTCATGGTCTCTCCGAGCTATGGACTCTGCCGGATTCC